CTGAGAGGGACCGGGATCGCTTCGTTCTACAAGCTGGAAGCTCTACGTCCTACAAGCTGGAAGCTCTACGTCCTACGAGGCATCAATGCGTGGCCGGGACCCAATTGAGGGTCCGACCCTTCGTAGCTGTAACTCCTCCGTAGAGTGTAGTTAGCTGGGTGGTCATCACCCTAGGCTGTTTCTGGTAAAGGGGCAGTTACCCCTTTGTGTATTACGTGTTGGTATAATAAATGTGTTGCCTCTAAAGAATAACGTCTGTTGACTCAGTTAGACTTACTATAAATGCACCAAAGAAACCATCCAATTAAAATATAATTTTCATGAAGACCTCATTTCAGGTCAATTGACATGCGACAAACATTATTTGCGGGATATGTGCCCCTCGTGTTGATAGTCTCAAGTTTTATTTTGTTTAACTAGGTGAGAACTCCTAAGACCAGGACAGTCAAATTTACAAGAGTGATCTGGGGTATTAGTCTGTCAGTGGGGCGGGGAGGGGTGGGTGTGGCGATGATTGCAATGTATCATCCAAATTGAGCAAATGTGCGGGAATTTTTTGAAAATTTGGACTCTGACCCCTAGAGTAAGAGGGCTATCGAAGTGACCTCAGAAGTAGTTATTTAACGTCATATTCCAAGCTGTTCTCTCACGCAGTGGGGTGCAATACTTGTTACATAATTCTATGCGGAAATGTCTTCACCTCATGACAGGATCATGAGAACACAAGTGGAATGTAATTGGGGTGGTGTCGAGGGAAACAAATAAATATACAGGGTTCACGATGGATAGTGATGTAGCTGTCACTACACCTCACCATTTCCCCTTTCAGCTAAATCCCAGATCGCCTCTTGCAGTTTTAGAGTCGTGTGAGGTCTCACATTGTCACAGTCGATACCTGATATTAAATATTCACACATTTGGCCTAATTCAGCATCTGGATTCAGTTCTTCCTCTCGATGTGGATGTGCTCTCCATGGCACAGCTCCGTTACCCGCCATCCTCCATTCTGCACATGTTCCCTATGGATTTCAACCCCATTCATGAATATCTACATGCTCTTCTGATATAGTATTTTTCTAATTTCCAAGTTGCTTACTCTATATTACGATGAAACTCCCTAGCAGCCTCTGCATACACTTCCACTGAAAAAGACCACAGAATGTATGTCTGGTTGCTTTGTTTTTGTGCAGTACTCCAACCCATGACACCAAATAATAAGACATGAAATCTGAATTACAGTCATTACAGTATTTATGCCTCGAACACATATCTATTAAACACTACATACTTCAAACTGCTTGAAACATAGGGATGGAATGATTTACACTCCTAGTGGTTCAAGGAAAAGTTACAATTCAATGTCACGGTTTGATGAAATAATTATCGTGTTAACTCCGTTAAGGTTTTCTGGTGATATAATTAAGAATAATTCTGAGTGCAAGTGAGAAAACCTCTTTTGTAAATTAATATAATGCAGCAGATCCAAATAGCATTTGTTACTACCAAACACACCAAACAGCAATGGAAAATAGATACTACAAACACATCATGCGTGAGTTACGACGGATTGACTTACACGTGAGATCAGAGCAGGTGTGACAATTATAAACACAGGATACCTTGGTCAATATATTGAATTAAAACAATGTACATCGCAACAAGCTATGCATGGGATTATAACACCAATAAACGACTCCACATATGCCTTACGGTTTAATAACGTTTGTCGCAATACGATGTGGAGATAATACACCGGACAAAGACTACCACTACAGTGTTCATGGTATAAAATAAGTCGGATTAAAAGCAAGACATGTAAAATAACAGCAGATGACAACATCCAAAACACTCAGTATCTTGGTATGTACAACGGATTAAATTCGTAACAAGCTATGAATTAGTAATACACAAGAGAAGGAGGCTCATGGATTAACAATGTAACGACAAATACAAAAACGAAACTTCCAGGATCCACCGTACTAGGGTGAGTTAAGTTGGATTAAAGTAACGTGGCACTAGCAGCAAATCCAAGTCAAGTGTTACACGTGCGCAAATCTAGTGAACGTCGCAATGAGTTACGCGTTGGGCAATTACGCAAGAGAGTAAAACCCACGTGCAGGAGTATCACGGGTTGCGTAAGAAAGGCGTGGTCTACCGGTAATAATAACAACTTTAGTCAAATCCCCAAAATATCCCAATTTTAATAAACACGAACTTTCTCTTTTGTGTATTGATACGGATTGGGAACATTCTCACAGAGGGGAGAGCTCGATGATGTAAGTTCTGGAACGATGTCAGTAGAGAGGCCAAGAGGCAAAACAAAGAAAGATGCCGCTCGTCGCCTTGAAGGAAGGGAGGAGGGCTACAGTGAAATGAAGACAAAAGCTAAAGATCGGACAGGGCTGGAGGGAGTGTGAGCTAGAGACCTGCCACTGGGCAGAAGATTAAGGAATCACACAACCCACAATAGTCTCGAGATGGAAAGGTGGGAGTCACTGATCAACGTTTGCTCCCTGGAGGACTTGTAACTGCCCCCCCCACCAAACCTGCGAGGAACTGCAATAAAACCCACCCTACCCCCACGCAGAGCAAATCCAAACTATCCTAAAAGGGAGGCCCGAAGAGATAGAGCTCAGCACAGGGGCTATTTATTGAGGGAGCGACCGGCAATTGCGTCCCCTCCCCCCTCCTCCCCATTTACTTTCAGTTCTAGAAAATAACGTGTGGCATTCACTGTTGTTCTTCCGTGGCTTGGTGAATGTGAGAGCAAATGGCATAAAAAACCCACAAATGACACCTGAATACCTACTATATATTTGTATGTGATCAAAGTAAACCAAAGATATGGCACGACGAACATATCAACCAATCAGAGCCAGCGACGTGATTGCCATTCCATTACTATGTATGTATGTTGAACTTCTTTCGCACCGTACGTAGCCAACCGTGCTAATTGGAGGTACGGGATATAGCAGTAGAACCGTTAACATCGTGGCTTTATAGATACGTCAAAAGAAAATACTGTGGAATTCTGAATAACCTTGACATTTGATTAACGGGTAGGAATAACACATAGGAGTGATTTATAATAATGTAAAGTATATAAACGAAACACAATTTAACCAGATGAAACTAATTAAGAGATGGACACGTTCGAAGTGAAGCTTTCTAAATGCTCTAGATCTCGGAGAGAGCCGTGGGAGAGGGAGGCAAGGTCCATGGCACAAACACTGGGACGTGCATGGAGCCGAGCTGAACAAAAGGATCTGGCAATGAACACGCTCCATAACTTGCAAGCAACACCCACTGAAACGTGCACAAAAAGCACTCGGCCTTTGTGCATTACGCGAAATCCATCAACAGTTCCTGAAGAACAACACCGTGGGCCCTCTTGCCTTAGGTCACCATCGAATAAAATGTTGAGCAAATGTAACCCACTGACAGACACCAGCTAGACTGAGAGACGACTGTAGACCTGTTTCCCGACTCATTCCAAAATGTTACGTGCAGAATAGAGAAAGCCATGAGGCGAGTTGGATCCAAAAGTGTGACACTGGGGGTTGTGTTACCTTATATGCCAAATGGGAGCTCCCCACACTTTACCCCACCACATGAAACTTGCCAATCCACTCACTGTGGAGTACTCCACTTATACCACTGGACAGTGATATACCACCGATATGTCACGGTGGCAAGATGTTAACTCCGCCGCCTGGTATGCAGGTCGTGGGTTCCATCCCGACCCTGGCCCCAAGGTCACGTGGATTTTTCTCCGTGTCCTCCGGCTTTGCCTCCACATTTATGAACACGCGTTTAGAGTATTTGGCTGCTATACATTTCCACGTGATGAGCCACTTCGTTGAGCTATCATTTGTGGTCAGGTCGCTTCTGAAAAGGAGCTATATAGCCCAGTGGGGCCTCACCTGGTAACATGAATATATATAGACAGAGGCTTGCCCATTGTTTCAACTGTCACGCTGGCAGATCGATCCGAGCCAGTGACCTCCAGATTGCAAGTCCGCTGTGCAAGACATTACACCGTTGCAGCACCCTCTCTAACAGTATTTAAGGGGTTTATTAAATGGAAACCTTATCCTTGATGGAGATGCGCATTGGTGACGATGAGGACAATGCACGCGATGCCGACTCTTTTTATCTCTCCCAGGGCGGCCGTGATAATATTCATTTCGCGCAGACATTGCGCCGCTGCCACGCCAGAATGCAGTTATTGCTTTTGAGAAGACAGCCGCGTGTAGTGCTCGTGAAGGAGGTCACACAACAAAGCAGAGGCGGTAGATGGGGAAATACGAGAAAGCGGGAGATGGTGGGGGCGGGGGGAACAATGCTGCCCCTTGTAGCAGCGAAAGCACCGGGGGGATTTCCTTAAGGTGTGACCCCATCCCCCGCGAGGACACAACGAAGCAAAGCGTTCACCGGCTGTGGCGGTGACACGGACACAGTTAATTTAGTCGGGCATTTGCGTTTTAGTCTGAGTCGAGGTCGACGACAACCGATGTCATTTTAGTCGAAACTTGGCTCGTGGTTAGTCTCGTCGGCTAAAGTGGTCAAAGCTTTAATCCATTCCGAGTTCATAAATGTTGGTTGTGCGAGGGGCATGCAAATAATTCCCACAAATATTGAAAGTTTTTTTTTTTACCATATATGGACAATTTACAAAATGTGTTCTGCCTGAGTGCACTGCAGTCGAAGTTATCTTAGTCTGCATCTTCATTCAGACTAATTATTTTGTATTATCTTATTATCTTGTTATAGCGTGAACGTTTGGTGGGTAGTCGACATCATCGCTCTTGCTTGATGCTAAATGACTTTTGTCCACTCACAGTCGGTGATTAAAATTATAAACAAATAAAACGTTACTGACGAATATTACATGAGCACGGTTTGGCTACGCACGGCGCGAAACAATTTCAACATGCACGCGCGCACATTTGCGTCACCGAGTTCAGGAACGAAATACGCGTGGTGCCGTGCGCGAGCAGGGGAGCCACGGACAAGTTTGAGTTCGAGTCGGCAGATGTGGGGGACATCATGTCCCTCGTGCTGGGACACTGCCCCCGCAAGAAGTCGTCCAGCCACAGCGAGGCCACGTGGCACGTGCAGCAGATCGTGCTGCTCATCGTCGAGACAGGAAACAAGTGAGACGTGACGGCGGCCCTGCGCCGAGATCTGGCGGGGTGGCGGCGGTGGAGGAGGCAGGGCGCTCGTTTGCCCCGTTACACCCAGCACTCACAACCACGCGGCACTTTTCCTCCACCGTTTATTTTCTTCTTTTTGTCAAAGACTTTCTATGCTCCTAGCAAGGGGCCACCCGTGCTCATCACCACGCTGGCTAAAGTATATTTGTTTAAAGTGTAAATGCCACGTCCCTGGCATGTATGGGTATCCGAATACGCATTCAAAAGGTTGCGAGTTCAATTTCCAGTTGGGGGTCGACTCACATATTCAAATATCACCACTTGATGGGAAATGAACAGTGTGTTTGCCTAAAGATAGACTGGTCCCTGTCATTGGATAGTGGAAATTATAGAACCGATTGAGGGGCCACTAATGGAGATCAGCACCACCAAATGCTTGTTTGAGCATGGAGATTCTTTACATTTGGTATTTGTCACAGGTCACCAATGAAAGAAAGTTAGTCTTAATCAGGGCCGTAGATAGGTGGGGGTGGGAGCAGGTGGGGCAGTTTGCCCCCCCCCCCCCGAGAGGGCCTCAGAGGGGGACTCATCTGGTCATTTGTTCCAGGAATCCGCACACCACCTACCTACCTAAATGTAGACTAACACAGGTCGAATGCTCTGCTTCTACAATCCCAACTTCCCGCTAAAATAAGATGCTGTATTCGCGCCATTCTTATAGCACACAAGGCTCTTACGCAAATGCTGTTTCACACACGAGTTTGGTCTGCGAATATGGGGGTGACGTTGCTTTGTGGTTTTACCCAATTTCAGTAATTTTGCAAGTAAATTTGCAACGCGGGCACGTTTTTGGGCACTGCGACACAAAAGTACACGTGTCTTCATCTCATCTGAACGTCACGGAATCTGTTAAACGTCCACCGTGAAACCTCTGCAGCAAGCGTCAAAGGCGCCACCGCTCATCTCCCCCCGCGCCCCTTGCAGGTACATCTTCCCGTGCGACGCGCAGATCGAGCTGTCGTCGAACCGCGAAGAGAGTGGCCGCAGCTTCGAGTGCCGACGCAAGATCGAGAGCTTCGCGAGCCGCACCGGGGGCCTGGCTCCCGTCAAGTACGAGGTGCTGGTGGTGACGGGCGGCGAGAAGGGGTGCGGCACCGACGCCAACGTCTTCATCGTCGTGTTCGGCTCGCGTGGCGACTCGGGACGCCGCGCGCTCAAGCACAAATACCGCAACCTGTTCGAGCGCGGCAAGACCTCGCGCTTCATGCTGGAAGCGCTCGACCTGGGGGAACTCAACAAGGTAGGCACGCCCAGGACCCCCCCCCGCCAACCCAGAGCCCCCAGCACCGACCGCAGCCCCCGCCCCCCGGCATCTTAGACATCTCATCAGGTCATTGTGCAGTCCTGCCCAATGCTTGGAACACGACACTGCTGGTGGAATATGCCTCCGCTAGAGGGTGCTCTGGAGAGCCCCTGTATAAAACATTTGACCTACTGTTCCACACTGACCAGACTTCTTGGAAGAAGTGGGAGTAACCACGATTTACCACACCACATGCGATCTGACAATCGACGGTGGTGTACCCATTTATACTGCTGGAAGGACAGGCGGGATGGATTTGAGATACTTGCCGGTTTCAAGTGCTGCGCCGGGAGACTGAACAGGCGATCTCTGGATTAGCAATTCAGTGTGCTCACCATTGCACCACATGCACATCACGAAGTACAAACAAAAATAAATGCTTACAAGCACGAGAATTTAACCCATTGTTGTCTCCCTGCTCAAACAACTCAAAATGTTGGAACCAAATTAATGGTGGAATTTTCAGCATCGCATGATGGTTGGGATTTGGGGAAGTCTCTCCATAGATTGACCGCTGTTGACTTTCATAATGTGGTACATATTTTAGTGTTTCATAGTCATTGAAAGGATGATGGGCTCTAAGTCGTCCCCCAACGGGGATTTGAATTCGGCTAACTGCAGTGCCACCCAACCAGAGTAATGTATACTAGAGCCGACATAATCCTCAAATTCCAAGAATACAAAATCCCACCAAAGCCATTCCATAAAAAGGACGCGCATGAAGGATTGCTCGACGAAGCAGAAGGTGACTTATTAATCCATCAGATTCTTATTGTAATAGGGTGATGAACCCCGTTATGGTTAGGGTTGTTAGGTTACAGATCTGCCTCGGCACCAATTACATATTTTGTTAGAATGAGAAAACTACAGTGTAGTCAAATAAAATGGCCATTTTAGGCTTGCATTCTTGTTATTTTCACGTGTGATTTTCAAGTTTTAGTTAAAGTGATTAAAATGTAATGTTGACCTAGTTTGGATAAACTACTAATAATACGCTTTCAAGTTACTCATTCATTGCAATTGTATGAGCGGTCGAGGAAGAGTTCTCCGAACACACGTGGATGTAGATTAGACTGATATTGCAGACATTGGAAACCTATTGACCATCATCAGCTCAGCCCCGTTGTATGATTTTAAAACTATACTATGGTACACAAACTGTTAGAGCAGATACGCAGCACCAGGGCTATTAAGCAGAATAATTTGGACGAATGCCAATTTTTGGGAGGAATTTAAGCCTCGTTCTTTAAAACTGCATAAGCTTTCGTATGACATCTCATTCACTAAAAATTGGAGTCGAGGAGTTTTCCAGACATACAGATTAGCTGCTTATCACACATACATGCTGTGTAGTAATATCTGGCTAGAAGGCATATTGCTTAGAATTCATAAGATTGCAAGTTTATATCCCAGTTGAGCATTAATGCAGCCCATCATTTATCTTGGGTCAATAAATTAAGTACAGCTAGATGATTTATCAAGTCGTGTTGATTGGCATGATGTCCGTTTCTCTCCAAGTGATGGAAGCTTCATCAGCAACTGGAATGAAACGTCAAGCATCATCCCAAACAACACAGTACAACTCCAAAAACCCATTGTCAAGCTACACGGCACAACCGCAAAAACCTACGTGGCAGTATGTCAACACATCTCACTGGAAATACTGGTGCCCCTTATATGGGTTTGTGTTTTTTTATCGACTGGCTCAGTGCTGCCATTGAGATGAGTGCCATTCCATTGCTTACCGAAAGAACCAAAGAGTAATTCCATTGCTTGTTCAAGCACTTTCAGAGACCCCCAAAAAAAAGGCCCGTTGGGATTTTCAATATAACTCAGTCAACACACTATACACAACGCACTATAAATGTATCATGAGACACATTTCCAATTTTCTGTGCTGCAGCGGAGTATGGGGTAAAAAAAAACCTCTAAGTGTGAATTTTCCTAATTGCTGCGGGGCTTCAATATCCACAATACTGCACTCTGGAGGAACATTACTCGTGGTAAGCGCATGTTAAACACTCGTCCCTGCAAACTATATCAAGGGTGGAAAGCTCGCACTTGACCAAATATTTGGTCATGCATCATGATCAAGATAAGTCAGGAAATGACCACGTGGCATTTTCCTGCTTTCACTACAGCTCAGTGAAGATGGTAACATTTTTCTAGCACACATAAGCTGCTATTAGATTTGAAATCCCACCGCTAAGTCATAGCAGACTCCTGAATAATTTCCAATACATCATCACTTAAACATTAGCGGCGTTAATTGCTTTTTCTTGTATAATACCAGACAGAAATCGTGTCATAACCTTGTCCTTCATTTGGCTTACCGTTGATTTTGGGATTAAACGACACATTGGGCAAAGTGGATTGAATTTAAAAATGCGTTTGACACAAAATAGAATGGAATCATGTTATGCATGCGAGTTATTTTACATTTAAAATTGGTCGCTGTTTATGTATGTAGAATACGTGCCACACCAATAGATCCTGTAAGCAGTGTCTTAACATACCAATGCTTACCCAATCCTACTTGCACACAAAGCACATTACTCTTGTCCAATGGCCATTTGCCATGCACATGTTCAGGTTGGCTTTTTATAGAGCACACTATTCCCGATGGTAGTAATGACAACCAGTGCAGGCGTGCACTTTGTATGTTAAAACACTGGTACAGTAACCCAAAGCTCATATTTCATACGGACACGTTTTAACATCCACCTGTTCAACACCATGCCGACATCACATTTAGACAAGCCATCAATAAGCACTTGAAGTAGGCAGTATATGTTGCAAGGCACACGACGATGGGCCTATTAACAAATCACCCAGAATGTATCCCATCTCAGAAGCTTTGCAGGGGATGAGCTTGGAAAGTGCCAAGATGGGCAACCATGAGTATGCACGTCAGGCTGTTGTATACTGCTGTGGTTTTACGTGGTGGGCTGCAGACGAGTCCAGAAAATCCATTGTACTGTACTTTCTATGCGTCCACATGTGCTCACAGCCTTTACAAACCCACACCGATCTGTGTGAAATATCGCCAAATAACCCCCATGTCATACAAGGCATATGGGTGTAGGGGGCCTCGTTCAGAATTGTTACCTGTAAATGTTTATGCAGTTTCAATTAAAATCGATTATTAGTCACACCATTGTGCATTTAGGAATCGATTATTTGTATTCACATTGTAAGTAATGTTTCATGCAGCCCTGCAGTCACGAGCCCTACACGCGTCACAATGTAAAAAAAATAGAATGGCAACCCCAAATCATCGCATCCTGACAGGAGCCTAATCACTATATGCCTATGATATTGTATGCAATGTAAAATAGCACAAGCCTGTTTAACTTGTAAACAAAGTAATGCGTTTGATGCGGTAGGGTCAGACAGCACCGTTAGAATGTACCAAGAGCGTGTGTCACTCTTCTTTTCCATCACCCTTGCCCTAGGTACGAATCGAGCACGACAACAGCGGATTGAGGGCAGGGTGGCTGTTAGACCGAATCGAGATCATAAACACATCCACACTCATCCGCACCATCTTCTTCTGCAACAAATGGCTCGACCATAAGAGAGGAGACCGTCAGATGTGCCGGGAGCTCTTCCCCATCTACTGAGCAAGCAAGATGGTCCTTGTGATATGGCTCAACTACACATTGCAACGGCCCTATATTCAACACAATGTGGGTTAACGGTTATTAAATGATAGTCTGCCTTTGTATCCTGGGTTGTGGTGGCACTGGCCCTTTGAGAAGGCATGTAACAATGCACAGGCAGATAGAAATGTATTCATACACGGATAATGCAATGAATAATGCGTGCGAGAAAGTATTTTTTGCATTTCATGAAAACTACAACACAATAAGATATGCCAATGTAACATGCAAGCTAATGATGTGAATTAAACTGGATAAACTGGACAAAAAACAAGATCTATAGTTTTCAAATTGTGATCCCAAATCATGGCAATTCAAACTGCTGTGGGTGGCGTGGACATTGCGAGGCATTAGATGCCTAATTTTGAGCACAAGCTAAAATGGAGATTGTAGTTTTGCAAATCCCTTTTTCTCCATATGACCCCTGTTGACTTCGAATTAATCCTTAAAGGCCGATTGGCCCATTCAACTCCCAAATAGGGTTCAAACTCACATCGATTCGCAGTCGAGCGCTGCAACTCCAAGGCGAGACCGAGCAGAAACGATTCGGTTAACGTTTGATGCATTTTCAACTTTAAAAACAAAAGATGCTTAATAACACGTTCAAGAGTTTGTGATTGAAGGAAATTCACTTATGACAAAGGTTCTACGGGCGTCCAAATTACACCAAGTATTGTGCCTTATGAAAGAAACATATGTAAGAAAATCCATCAGAACATTTTTTATATCCAGTAGTTTGTACATATTATTTGGATGAGAACAGTACACTTTTATAAAACGCTGTCTTGTGAATGTCAGCTGAAATGTTTGACATTTTCGGCGAAACAACGTGCCACGAATGTATGACTGTAGTATGTATGCATGCGGAACAATCATGCAAGAACGATTGAACAAAAATGATGAATGTACTCATGTATATAAAGTACTTGAAACATTAACAACTCGCTTGGCGTTTCATTTTTGAACTGGTGAATTGTTGATAAAAATCCACATTACACACAGGAGAAAAACCACAACATAGCAGTTACATTCTTTATTATCGATCATCCAAGTGAATTTCCAACCCAAAACACATTAGATATAGCTCTTTACATAAGACTCTCAATTCCAACTATAAGCAATATTTAGAAATCACAGCTTAGTGTTATAGCCTTTTTCTTAAACCAGGTAACAAATCTGCTCTATATACCTACAGCTCTAAATGATACACCTGCCTCCACGAGTAAGCACTCTTCCCGTACATTAGCAGATACCCAGTTATGCAATGCAATCGATAAGGCTTGCGTACGGTCTTTGCAGTTAATGCAGTTTACTCTTGCACAAAAAGAAACGTTTAGTGACATTAGTGTAGGTTGAATCTATATAAATAAACCACCAAGGGTGAGCGTGCGAGTTAGTAGCTTTAATGCAACATTTCATTTATATATAAAAAGTGGGGAGGGGGGAGGGAACTAAATAAAAAAACGGTTGCTCTCTCTTGCCTTTTATTCCCCACTTTCTTCCAACATGCAATCCCACTTGCCACAAAGCTGGCTAACAATTCCCAAATCGTCCAACAGCATGGTTGCTGAAAACCCTTTTATGTAAAATGAGCACAGTTACAGTACCAAAATAGCATCTGTGCAAAACTGCAAACACGGACAAACTACAGCTTTGAACAGTTTAGCGTTGGCTGCTGTTGGCGCTACTCTGCACAGAGAAGTGCCCCCCCCTTTAAACATCACCTATTGGGCTCGACAGAAAAAAAGAGCAAAAATGTGCGTTTTGTAAAAGCGTTGAGCGATTAAGAAGCATGACCGGCCTTTGCAGAAGCAGACGCGAGTCATGAACATGGACACCCACAGCACTAGGCCACTCGTGGTTGTTGGAGCGGTGTGTGCCTCTCTTCGGGAGGCGTGTGCATTAACTGGCCACAATAATAAATGCCACACCGTTCATGGATTACAATCACCAGTTAGTCACTTTATGGGTGTTTGGTTCTCAGCATCTTTGGCCGCGCTTGGCTGGAGATAAGGATGAGGCCAGAGCTTCGGCAGACCACTGAAAAGACAGGATGCCGATATGACAGGCAATGCAGAGGAGTTGCAGGCCAACTATGGGGCCCTGAGGATCACATGGTCGTAATCTTTGCTAAATACATCAAGCTTGCTCGAAACAGCAGCAAAAAAGGCAATTTTGTGCTCCTGCTAATGCTTTTAAAAACATTAACCGCCTGCTGGCCGTAGCAGCAACATTTTGGGGTGCAAGCACTGCCTTTCCACGTCACACACCATGGAAATTCGTGACGCTGCCAATTTCACACAGACACGGGACGGGGGAGCAAAGCGTGTGCTGCGGCGTGACTCGCCGGCCTGCTGGAGAGCACAACCACTCTGGTGACGCGTTCAAACACTGGAGGCAGCGCTACGGGTTGTGGAAAGTCGGTCGGTCCAACAGAGGGACGCAAACTAGCTTCATAAAAACATATTATTGCATTGAGCTTCGGAGACGAACACGTGTTTAATGAGGAAGAATTGTTGACAGTGTTAAGGTTCTGGGATCTACAAGCCACACACTGGCGGCAAGTAGTTGTGCGCCCATTTTTAGCTGTCGGTGGCAAGCTGAGCTTCAATGTCCACGCGGCAGATGGGACACTTTTTGTTAGTGGTGAGCCACTGGTCCACGCACACCTGATGAAACAGGTGCATGCAAGGGAGACGTCTGCCAGAGAGAGCACAGGAAAAATTGCAAGTAAAAAAACCTGTAAAAATGCCTCCTCCTTACCACAGGTACACACGTTTCTATTGAAAGTCTGCATTAACAGCTATCAGCTGGATAAATACAAAAACAATGGCTAGTCATCGAACAAAAACGGTGGCTGCATTGTGCGCTTTCACATTCACTTCTTCGGCTGTCTGGAACACTCTTCCTCCTTTACATATTAGGAAGCCACTGGAGCGACAACTGTTTTTTGTGTTTAGTTTGTCATCTTCCCCTGCACTTCCGATTAGCACGGTTGGCTATGTACGGTGCGAAAGTAGTTCAACATACATAAATACCATCCAACCAACATTTTGTCCAAAGACAGAACCAGAGGAAAACTGTTGTGAGTGGCTATGTGACAATCTGTATATGGCAAAACACATTAATTCTTGTACCCATTCGACTTTTGATGGCAAATACAATTGAGCACAGCAAACACAGAAATGAGAATGACTATCAAAACAAGAAAAAAATGCATTTTAAGTGATTTTAAGGGCCAATAGCTGAAACGTTGGCCATTTTATATTTTTAATTGTAAGGCAGTGTTATTGACGAACTGTTAAGCTTTTTTACATGTGCTTGTGCACCACTGCCAACGCAGTATCGCCAAAAAGTTTATCTAAAAAAACACAGCAATATTATCAATGCTTCATTTGTAGATTATAAAATAAGCAAATGTTATCACGGGGTTTCCTCACTCTTTAGGATAATGAGAGTGAAAGGCATCTCCTTACCTGACATCTTCCTCTTCTTCCAAAACAGACAAGCAGATGGTACACTTCTCCTCATTCTCATCATCAGCTCCACCTTCATCATCACCCTCTTTCTCCAAACTCTTCCTCTGCAGCACAGACACAGGCATAACAAAGTTAAAACTGAACCAGTTCCATTTCATGTCTTGCTAATATACAACCACGACTGTGCTTTTCTTTAAGGCCGCAAAATAAAATAACCCCTGCGAGTTAACCTTCCAGTTTAGCCAGCGCAAATCTATGCAGTTACTTGAATGCGAATCAGGATGCAGTGCACAGACCAAGTTGTTAAGTTTTAAATTATTAAGTTACATGTAAAAAACATGAGTGGTATGAAAGCTCTGTTGGGTGTTAAAGGGCTACGGTCATATGTTTTTTTCCTATTTAGTAATAGACTGCTATATTAAACACATTTTAATATCCAAAATGGCATAATAATCTATACTGTGCACACGCCTCACAAACATAATATTTTTTTTTACAGGTTTCACTTGGTCAACTTTTTATATTGGCCAACTAGTTGTTGGGCATCCATGTAACCTAGCAAGACCACAGCAAGAACATTTCGTCAAGACCATCGTTTAAACCATTCACGGACTTGGTGTTGCTCACGGTCACCTTTTTGTATTTGTGCGGATAGGTGTGCCTCTCAATGGTGCTCTGGGAAGCTCCGCGATTCACGTTTCCCAGCCTCTCCTCCAGCTGCAGCAGGTCCTGTATTTGGGCACACAATCATAGCACAGTGAGCACCAGTTAACATGGCAGGGCCAAGAGCGCTTGCATCCCACCATATGTCTGGCCCATGAGGATAACTGTGGCGCGTGTAGAAAGGTGCAAACCTCTGCTCTGAAGAACAATCCCTGTATGTTGCGGGGGATGAGCGGGACGTGAGAAGCATAGCCCGACATGTCGGGCATTGCCTGCGCAAAGGGAAACGGATTGAATACTTTTAATTCTGACACCTGCACCGAAGAGCCCTTGCTAAGTGTCAAAACACATTTTTTTTTAGTACATCACATGCAGCGACGCAACAATGTTTTACCACTCTAATCGCCTCCGCTCCGATCGCACACATCATTCGCATGCCACACAGGTTCACTCTGATCATAAATGTGTACGTTTCAACTTCTACCACCGAGTACATTTCCTTTAATTTGCAAAACACATGTATGCCTCATGGGCACATAAGCAGGCGCACACACGTGTCCCTACATGGTATTCGAGTGCATACCACGGGCAGGGTGAGGCGGCCGGGGAAGTGGTGGAGTCTCAGTGCTCCATGGCGATGATGCTGCAGGTAAGGGTTCATCGGATGGCCCTGAGGGAAGGGGGCCTGCCCTGCACTGCCCTGCTCCACCGCAACATCCCTGCAGCGAGAGAAAAAGTGTTCCAGTAAACTATCCACATTACATCAAAAGTCAGTTTATCCATGCAGGATACAAACAACAATTCAGCATTCTTTTCAATTGGTGGTCCCGAGCCAGTGAAGGAAAATCCACATTTTCATGATACGGGTCACGATGTGGGGGACCAACCATTGCTGGCTTCCCAGAAATCAGGAGACCACTGTATTAACCCCTGATGGGTTGAAAACTCCCTCAGGGATGTTGAGCTAAGTCAACCCTGACAGGGATTCGAATTTGTAACCATCTGATTGAGTCAAGGGCTCAACCAATTCTATCCAGCCAGATTTACATTTCAATAAAACACATTTGACTCATGGGAACTGGCTAGTAACAAATATCCAATATGTAGACCATA